TGCAAGGGGCCTAAGTTCCATCCGTCATTCAGGGAACTAGATCCCACATGCCACAGCTAAAAAAAGAAAAAGATACTGTGTGCCACAAGGAAGATTTGGCACAGTCAAATAAATAAATTGTTTAGTATCTGACCTTCTCTGGTTGCTCAGATGGTAAAGAATTTGCCTACAATGCAGGAGACCTAGGTTCGATCACTGGATCGGGAAGACCCCCCCTGGAGAAGGGAATGGCAACCCACTTCAGTATTCTTGCCTGGAGAATCCCATGAACAGAGGAGCCTGGTGGGCTACAGTAAACTATAGTCCATGGGCTTACAGAGAGTTGGACACAACTGAACAACTAACACAACAAAGCATCTAAAACATCCTTCTTTCTTAGCATCCTCCTGGAGCCTCTGGCTCACCCGTTCTCTTCGTAGGTGTGGCTTTTGTTCTTTCATGGTGAGCTGCACTTCCTCTCTCAGTCTCTGTGCCCCTGTGTGCTTCTCCTTCTGTCCCTCTGTGCCTCCCTGCAGCTCTCCCTCGTCCTTTGTCCCCATTTCCCTCATCCCCCAAGTCCCGCGTCCAGAAAAGTCTCATTTATTTGGCTGCCTGAAGTCGGGTGGGGTGATGACTCAGAATTGCCAGGTGGAAGTTTTACTTTCCCTCAGTGAACACTTTCTGCTAGTCAGTCAGGCAACGTGGTTGTACAGGCCAGCTCTCAGTGGGGAGGTTTACAAGCACAGAGGGAACACTCCAGTCATCTGAAGCGCTTACATTCCAGCCCGGGGCAGCCCTCAGTCCTGGCTCAGCTGGGCCGTTTCCTGGCTGGTGACCTTGGGCAAACCATGGTGCTTGCCTCTGCTTCCCCAGTTAAGTGGAGGTGATCCATTTCACACCTGGGGTTGAGGTGATAATGTGTGCTGAGAACCTGGCCTGATGCCCAAGGCCTCCAATTTCCCCTTTATCTACGGCCAAGCACCACCACCACTCCCAGCTGCCAGCACTGCAGGCCCTTTGGTTTCTGCCCTGAAGATGCTCCGCAAGTTCTCCAGAGCTCACCGTGGCATCCGTAGCCAGCTTCCTAGGAGATGCAGTGGCTCTTGCCTGCTGTTCTGGCCGTATGCACATCCCTCCAGCCAGTGGGCCACTTCACCTGCACTTCTAGCCAGTCAGTTATTCAGGGTCTAGGTGCTATCTCTAAGGATGAGAGATGCAGGATGCTTGTGGGAGAAAGGTCCCAGGACCTGAACTGGAACAGTGGCAATGGGGACAGATGCCAGGCCACACAGTAGTGGGATGGACAGAGGGGTAAACTGGCAGCTCACGGTGTAGGGGGTGTGAGGGGCTGGGGATGGGGCCTCTGGGAGCCCTGTCTCTGGTCTGAGGGACAGAGAACTGAATATTAGCACCTGTCGAAAGCCAGAGGACTCTCCTAGAGACTCCTACGGAGTGAAGTAAGTCAGGAAGAGAAAAACAAATATCGTTATCTTAACGCATATATGTGGAATTTAGAAAAATGGTACTAATTAAGCTATTTGCAGGGCTGAAATAGAGAGGCAGATGCAGAGAATGGGCTTATGGACACAGGAGGGGACGGACAGGTTGGGACGAATTGAAAGAGTAGCACTGACATATATACACTGCATGTGTAAGTGGGAGGAGAAGGGAGGCGGCTTTCCTGGCTTCCCCTCACAGTCAGCCATCCAGCCGAGGTGAGGTGGCAGGGGGTTACAGTACACAGGGTGTCAGGTAGCCATCTGCTTATCTGTGAAGCAAGACTGCTTAGAAAGAAGATTCTTTTTAAAATTATTTATTATTATTTGGAGGATAAATGCTTTACAATATTGCGTTGGTTTCTGCCATACATCAACATGAATCAGCCATAGGTAAACACATGTCCCCTCCCTCTTGAACCTTTCTCCCACCTCCCACCCCATCCCACCCCTCTAGCTTGTCACAGAGCACCGGTTTCGAGCTTCCTGCGTCATACAGCAAATTCCCACCAACTATCTGTTCTCCATACGGTAATGCATATGTCTCAGTGCTGCTCTCTTCAATTTTTCCCACCCTCTCCTTTCCCTTCTCGTGTCCACAAGTCTGTTCTCTAAGTGTGCGTCTCCACTGCTGACCTGCAGAGAGATTCATTAGTACCATTTTTCTAGATTCCATATATATGTATTAACATACAATATTTGTTTTCCTCTTTCTGTCTTCACTCTGTATAACAGGCTCTAGGTTCATTCACCTCAGTAGAACTGACTTGTGTGTGTGCCTTTTTATGGCTGAGTGATATTCCCTTGTGTACATGTACCACAACTAGAGAGAAGGTTCTGCTGGGAGGGAGGGGCCTCAGCCAAGCCCACCACCTGCTGCAGTTCTGAGTAGCCAGATTCAGGGGCCTCCACCAAGCCCGACTGGCTCCTCCCCAGGGCGAGCAGCTCCGGGTCCCCCCACAGCTCTGGGTGGAAGGAAACTACGCTTGCCCTGGGAATTGGCCAGGGCCACGGATGAGTCCAGCCATCTCTGACTGTACTGAGTTCCCCTGGGAACTCTCTGGGGACCCGGCAGCCCTGCTGAGCCCGTGTGGAGCTGAGAGGGCCTTGTTTTGGAGTTAGGACCCTGAGCCTCCCCTGGCCAGAAGTGCCTTCAGGTAGGGACCTTGCCTCTTCCATCTTTCACCCCAGCATCAAGCCCAAGATCTGAGTGGATGGTAGGTACCCGGGGAAGGTGTTATTCTGGCTCCTTTCCTTTCTAGCTATGTGACCTTGGGCAAGTGGCCTGACTTTTCTGCACCTCACATTTATCTGTGGTCAACAGATCACAAGACCTGTTCCACTTGATGCATTTGGGAATACACAAGATCACAGGGCTCCCAGAGGCCCCTTTCCCAGCCCCTTCTACCCCCTCCACTGGCATTTCATCGTATAGCCAGATCTCTGAACCTGGAGCCTATTAGAGTGAAGTTAAGTCAGGCATGTGTGAGCTGTCGACCCCTGGGGATATGGGGAATGTGCTAGCTTGTCGCCCGCAGCTGCATGTGTCACCCGCTGCCTTCTCCAGGGAGGGGGGAGTGCCCACCGGAGCCTTCCCAATTCAGTTACGTGCGGCTGCAGCTGACATTTCATTCTACAGCCAGATCTGTTTCCTAGGAAACGAGTGAGAGACATTGACTGTGCAGTGCACACGCACATGCACACACACACACCCCCCGGGCTGCCACCAAGAATGACAATGAACAGAAAGACAGTAATGTCAGCGGAAGCAAAAAAATAAGTTTATGCCCTTGTGCTGTTGCTCCCTGCTGCCCGGGCTGCAGGGGAGGGAGGAACAGGGGACAGCACTCCCTGACGCAGGACCACACGGTGGCCTGTGGGGCATCTTCTGAACAGGCAGGTTTGGGGGGGCCCCCTCTGCACCTCGCAGCCTCTCTCCTCCAGGGCCAGACCCAGGTGGCCTCCGCAGGTGGGGTCCCGATTCGTTGCTTGTGCACATTCTCTCTGACTGAGTCTGCTGCCAACTTCCCTCTCCATCCTGAAACTGGCACCCTAGACTCCTGTCTGCAACCAGAAAGACACGGTCCTCCAGGCACACACAGTCTGCATGTCCACTCCTACCCTTGACTCCCTGACACCTGCCCTTTATCCTGCCAATGCCTCCTCCAGTCTCTTACATCCCAGCCTCCTAAGGTGCTCAAGCCGGAGACCTGGGAGTGGTCCTTCCGCTCAGTTCCACCATGTAGGCCTCTCTTCCCGCCCAGCCTCAGCTCTGGCATGCCTTATTCCCACCCCTGGTACATGCTGTGCACTCTAGATATCCATGCTCCCTCCATGTTCTTCCATTGACTGAAGTAAAACCTGGACAAACACCTCATCCTCTAGGAAGGCCTCCTGCTTTTCCTGGGCTGAATCAGTGGGTGACTTTCCCTGGGCCCTTTTTTCTTACCTCTATGAGGGTAATGATCATTGCACTGCATTAATGATAGCAAACATGTGGGCTTACTAGATTTCCGGCGTTCTAACAGCTTAACAGGTATTTGTTCATAGAATGATATTACACGTGTGTCTATTGTTGGCTCTTTGCTGGCCTGGCAGCTTGGAGAGCAGGCCCCCCATGTGACCCAGCTCTAAGTCGGCCACCAGCTCCCAACATAGAGCTGGCTTCTGGTGAGCTCTGCTAGGGTCTGTTTCTTGCTCTAAGGCCAGGACATAGTAGAATACACAGAATGCTTTTGCGGAGTGAATGAAATGAATGCTGCCCTGACTGGGTACCCAGTTCCCAGAGGGGATGCTCTCTTGGTGTGTTTCCTCTGCCTTTCTCCCAGCATACCTGATGGTTTAAAACTATGAGGGTAATGATCATTGCACTGCATTAATGATAGCAAACATGTGGGCTTACTAGATTTCCGGCGTTCTAACAGCTTAACAGGTATTTGTTCATAGAATGATATTACACGTGTGTCTATTGTTGGCTCTTTGCTGGCCTGGCAGCTTGGAGAGCAGGCCCCCCATGTGACCCAGCTCTAAGTCGGCCACCAGCTCCCAACATAGAGCTGGCTTCTGGTGAGCTCTGCTAGGGTCTGTTTCTTGCTCTAAGGCCAAGACATGGTAGAATACACAGAATGCTTTTGTGGAGTGAATGAAATGAATGCTGCCCTGACTGGGTACCCAGTTCCCAGAGGGGATGCTCTCTTGGTGTGTTTCCTCTGCCTTTCTCCCAGCATACCTGATGGTTTAAAACTGGCTTTTGTGCAGTCTATTGGCAAAGAGGGCTCTGTGGGTTTTGCTTTCTTCTTACAATAACCTAAGCATAGGTTCTGTTACATTGTATAAAGCCTGCCTTAATCAGAGTTTGAAACTGCTAAATAGAATGGCATTCAGATGATCATAGATAATGAGTGCGTGCCTAGCAGATGTGGCAGCAGAGGGTTTTGCAAAGCAGCCAGATGGATGACAGGAGATGCTGCTGATGCCCTGCCCATCACCCTGGTAATCTGGGCTGTCTTCTTTTTCTTTGGGCAGCACTATTTCACAGTTAACTTCAGCCACGAGAACCAGAAAGCCTTGGAGCTGAGGACAGAGGACGCCAAGGACTGTGATGAGTGGGTGGCGGCCATCGCTCACGCCAGGTATGCCTCGGCCACCCCAAGGTCCAGTCGGGAGACTGGGCCCCGTCCTGGGCAAACTCAAACCCTGGGAGGGGAAGACATGGAGAGGGAGCACATGGAGGGGACATGAAGCTGTAAGAAGGACGTCTTGACGGGTCCACCCTTAGAGACCCGGGGCTCTGATGTACCTCTCCGGGGTGCACAAGGAACCAAGCGCCCCCAGGGGACAGCAGGGTGGCCTCCTGCCTCCAACCAGATGAGCTTCTTTTATTATCTCAGGAGAACTGAGTCCAATTTGATTGAATTATAGGGTTTTATTACAGGACTTCCCAGGTGGCTCAGACGGTAAAGGAGCCACTCACAGTGCTGGAGACCTGGGTTCAATCCCTGGTTTGGGAAGATCCCCTGGAGAAAGGAATGGCTACCCACTCCAGTATTCTTGCCTGGAGAATTCCATGGACAGAGAAGCCCGGTGGGCTATAGACCATGGGGTAACAAAGAGTCAGACACAACTAAGCGACTAAGCACAAGGTTTTATGGTCACCAAAAGCTAAGACTACCTGAGTTCTAACCCGGATGCTGCAGGAATGTGCTGGTCCTGTCTTTTTTCTGGGCCTTAGTCTTCTCTATAGACTGAAATTCTCTGTGCTTGGATGTGCAGATTCTTAGCCAGCTCTTCCCCTCCCTCCCATCCATGTGTGCCCCTCTCTGGAGGGACTCACTGGGCCAGGTGGGGAGAAGAGCAGAAGGAGAGTGCATGCAACAGAGAAAACGGGGGCTTCAAACTGAACGGAGTCTTCCTAGGTTTGGGGGAAATGATGGGCTTGGGGGCTGGGGTGTGGCCCCAGAGCTAACAATCCCCAGCAGGGCTGAGTACTCTCAGGGAGGATGGACACCCAGACTCACCCCTTCAAACAGTAGACCTTTCTGGCTGAGTGGATAATGCTGTGTTTCTGTATCTACTTTTCTACAAAATGTAAGCTCTTGGGAGCAGGGACCAAAGGCCTTATACAGACAGTTCAGTTCAGTTCAGCTCAGTTGCTCAGTCGTGTCCGACTCTTTGCGACCCCATGAATCACAGCACGCCAGGCCTCCCTGTCCATCACAAACTTCCGGAGTTTACTCAAACTCATGCCCATCGAGTCGATGATGCCATCCAGACATCTCATCCTCTGTCGCCCCCTTCTCCTCCTGCCCCCAATCCCTCCCAGCATCAGGGTCTTTTCCAATGAGTCAACTCTTCGCATGAGGTGGCCAAAGTATTGGAGTTTCAGCTTCAGCATCAGTCCTTCCAATGAACACCCAGGACTGATCTC